CAACCACTGAATCTAAAATTTGTAACATTGATATATTTTTCTACCAATGTCATAATAATGCATTTTTGTTCATTTGAACCATCTAATCAGGTGAACGATTAAGGGTCATCATTACCCTCTTGTTAAGTGATTTGGCCTTGTAATTGATTTTACCTTACAGATCTGATTTATGCATTTTTAACTATTGGTTTATATGTATATTATCATATCATTACATTTAATGAAAATACACATATAAAATATTTGAATGAAAAATTGTCCAAAAGGAATGCATTTTAAGATTTGCACAGGTTTGGTAAAGAGGAAAATATAAAAAAGAACAAAGAGGAAGTTAGGTAAATGGAAAGCAGAGAAATACGGCCGATTGTCCAACACCTTTCTAGTTGGTCACAAACCTTTCCTCTTTTGCTACAACTGACGGACCATGTAGACAATCTATGATGGGCAGTTCTTGAAAATGTATTTGGACTGAATTGTCATACCTAGCTTCGTCGGGTACTTGTAGGTGATTTTCTTGCTTAAAAACAGTTAGGTCTTTTGATACAGTTATAATGTTTCTATTTTAAAGTGTATAAAGCTATATCTTTGATGTGTTATGATAACAAAATAGTGGGGCGGGAAATAAGGTCTCTGCTGTCAAAATAGTGCAAATTGTGATACAAGCATGAAACTTTCAGGAAATTATCTTTAGACCATGTAGATTTCAAAAGTGAAGTGGGCCCAAAAATATCTCTGCTCATTCAAGATGGCCGCCATTTTCAAGATGGCCGCCATATAAATTTGATGTACATAATGGATCATTCATTCCAATTTTTTGTACAGACCTTAAACTTACACCAAAGCATGCGTATAGTTTCCCCTTTTCAAAAATTTAAATCTTTAAGCAATTTCTCTTGCATATTTTTTCAGAATCCAAGATGGCGTCCAATATGGCTGCCAATTTTAATGAAAACTGATATATCTCTTTTGTAGTATAATTTTTTGCACACGATATGAGTATTTCCATATAAAATTGTGAAATATAGTAGAAAAAAAATAAATTTTTAGGTTAACCACATTGTTAGTCATGTTTTTAGTTTTTTGTACAAAAAAAATATTTTAAAAAATCAAAGAAAAAGTGCCATTTTTTCATTTTTCTCTAACATGGTTTTCTAGGTCTCTATGTACAAAATTCCAAAAGTTACATAGTTTCTTAAAGTGTATTTGATATTCAATCAACACTATGTTTTATTGTATAATTGTAACAAAAACAAACAAAAATGTGAAGGTTTTATACTTATTAAAAGTGGGTGGGGTAAATTTATCAGACAATTGTAGTACAAAATAACGTTTTTAAGAATTCTTATGCAAATATTCACTGTAAAAGTATTTTATTGTATTAAGGTATTTTTGTTTTCCTTCAGGTCTAGAGGGTGTACTAAAATATCAATAAATGCAGATACAATCATATGTATACATTCAGTTATTAAATGTGTTTGCATGATATAAGTTGTTTCAATAGTCATAATATAACTTGATAATTATACAGAAAGAAGACTGAATATTCATCAACGAACCATATGTTAGATAAAATCATGTCTGGACCTTAGTGAAATGTTGTCTATTTATGAATACAATTATTTCCTGCACAATTTAGTCTTGCTAAAAGCTTGTAACAGAATGATTCAAAGTTATATTTACTTGCACAGCATTGTAACCAAGTATAATTGAATAAGTACCGTCCATTTCTAATAACTTATGTAGACATGATATTTCAAAAGAAACAAAAATTTGGCGACTGATACATCATATTATCTAATGACTAGGTGTGCTAAAATAGGTATCAATAAAACCGCTTGACCCACATAACAAACATAGCTTATACTTTGGAATATAAACTAAATGTATTCCTACCTTATTTTTCCCATAAAACAAGAGAGCATTGTTGACCCTAGATCACGCGCCTAAGAAACCCACTGCTGGAAAAGGTCTATAATTCGTTTATACTGAAGAAGGCTAAAATCATATAAGGAGTATCTTTTTTTCACCAGTCATATTTAAAGAATCATGTCCAATAACTAGACTCTCAGAACTACAAGAAGACTCATATCTATATTCCGATAAGAGTCCATGTAAACTAAGTGATTTTGACCCTATGCCAATAGTTCATAATCTCTATATATAGCATCACAATGTTATGATCTACGATATTTCTCTTCTCTGTGCACATAGTTTCGGAGAAGAATTTTAATATATAAGTCAATGTAAACTAAGTGACAGGGCAAGCCATTTTGGACTGCAGGAACATGATTTAAAGGCCCTCACGAGGAACACAGTTTTTAAAGACTTGTGTAGGGAATCGCATTGAAGTGTTTTGTTGTTGATGTTATTAAAAAAAATCAACAAACAAACAAACTGTAATGCCTAGAGCTTAGATAGTCAAAATATAACCTTGCCAAGTAAAGAAGACCTCTTTAAAAGTTACATAAAACACTTTTGTATCATTAAGTGTACATGCAATAAAAAAAATCTTCTCAAAAAATCAAAATGCATAGAGCACAGGTACTAAGCTGGCATGTAGCACTACCTTAGGTCTTTATAAACACATTTAATGAATCATGCTCATAGAGCCACCTGGGTCACAGACTTGTATAGGAAAACACATTAAAAACATCTAGTGTTAAACTTCATTGACTTGAAATAAGGTATTTGGGATGTAGACTGATATAACATGCATAAATTTGTATGATGCTATTGCAGTCTAAAATGGTTTTGCAATGGTATCACTTAATTTACAAAGACTACTGTAATAAATATGTTTTTCTCTTAAACTACACTATCCGACGCATATACATTAATCATGTATCATCATAATTATGTTATAATAATGATATATCATGGACAACATGGTCCAAATTTAACAAACACAAAAGGTCACTACGTTTATATGAACTCGTATATAGATATAGTTATTAAAGTTCTCTTGTGTGAAATAAAAAATTGAAAGCAGATATTGAGCATATTTCTTTAAAAGCAACCAGATTCAATTATGACACAAATCATGTGTGTTATGACATAATTGACACTCCCAAAATGATCTTGTTACTTTTTTTCCAACAATGATCTTAGGTGAGTGATCCAGGGTCATCATTACCCTCTTATTGAAAGAAAAAAATAAGATATGATTACTTTAGGAAATACTAGTACACTTAGTTTGTATCTTAACTTTTCAAAAAGCTGCATGCAGGCCAGGCCATATATATTTGATATATATGTTTCACATCACATACATTTTGTTGGCTTTTATATAAATATAAAAATTGTGGAGGAGTCAAAAATATGCGTTTATGGACTACCTTTATACCTTACATTCAAATACATGTTTGCTATTTAAGCACGTTTAGTTGATTTATTGTCTTCTTATATGTCTTTACGATTAACAATTAATATATGATATCAAATATATTGAAACAAGAATTATCATGCAACCAAATTTAATAACTGAATGTATACACATGTTTGTATGTGCATTTCTTGCTCACCCACCAAATGGCCCGAAGGAAGACAAAAATACTTTCATCAAATAAAAAGTACTTTTTAAGTTTGGAACATTTGCATAAGAATTCATAGAAAAGTAAAAAGGCAAAGAAATAGAATGAACTTAGCTATGTAGATTTTCTGTTGTTTTTTCTTTCACAATTATCATATAAAAATTACCCCACCCACTTTCACAAAATATAAAACCTACAGATTTAATGTTTTTCTTACATTCTTTACAATAAACACATGATATTAATGGAATGTCAAATACAGTTTAAGATATAAAGTAACTTTTTTAACTTTGTACATTACTTTAGAAAATCAAATTGAAAAATATGAAAAAAAAAATGGAATTTTTTTCTTGATCTTTTTAAAGATGTTTTTAGACAAAAACTTTAAAATGTTTACTTTTATTGAGATTAACATATAATTTGATTATCTCTGATATGTTTAAACACTTTTTTATCATAATAAACATTATTTGTGCAACAAATTATACTATAAAATGATATAAACAGTTTTGCACAAAATCGACGGCCATATTGGACGCCATCTTGGATTTGGAAGAAGTATGAAAGAGAAATTTTGTGAGATTTAAATTTTTGAAAAGGAGAAATTATATGCATGCTTTTGGTGTGAGAATTGAGTACCGCTCAAGCCGGTGCTAGGGAGCGTGAGAGATGTTGCACTTATTCATTATCCCTCATGTACAGACTCAATCAAACCGAGTCTGCAATTCAAATGTTATTTTGTTGTGATTAATGCTTCCGAGGGATCACTTTGTTTCCAGAATTCTGTACAAAAAATTGGAATGAATGAGCTAGAATGTACTCAAATTTATATGGCGGCCATTTTGAAAATGGCGGCCATCTTGAATGAGCAGAGATATTTTTGGGCCCACTTCACTTTTGAAATCTACATGGTCTAAAGATGAGATCCTGAAAGTTTCATGCTTGTATCACAATTTGCACTATTTTCTCAATTTCCCGCCCCACTAAAAGTTTTGTTTATATTATGATCAGAATAGATACAAAAAACATAGAAAAGAAAGACGATTACCTACTTATTTACTTACATTAACCAAGTGAAAATAGTAGGGGAATATTTTGTTCCGGAACATTTTATTCTAATTTACGTACAATAATCATGTGTGATAATTAACACAGTTATTTTATGTTAAAACTTTTTCGAAAAATCACTATACGGTTATTGAAACAAAGTAATTTTGCTGTTTTTAAATATTTACAATTTTTTTCATCAGATATAGCTTTACACACTTTGAAGCTATTTTCATATTTCACATATTGTTACAATACAATTGTTAGCAAAAATTAGCTTGAATTGTTGTGCTAGAATTGGTTGGGGCTGATACTAGAAATCTAGCAAAATGAAAATGAGAGCTCACAGAAAGTTCTTTTATACAGAATATGTTTTAATTCGTCCTATAATTTGTCATAAATGAATTTTTTCATAAATTGCAGAAAATTTTTACGGACTCGTCTAAACTACTGTTTACAGCCACCAAGAATTATCTATACTTCAAGAAAATCAAAGTTATTGTACCAAAGACATGGCAGCATAAGGAAAAGTACAAGAAGGCTCGGATACCTTCACACATTGAACAGGAAATAATTATTGACAACGCTAAACAAAGCGAAACAGGCCAGCCAAGGGTAAAAGGGGTAATCGCATGTGGCACTGGAGGTTCATATATGTACCTTCATTCAGAAAAATTTATTTTGAAAACAGAGTACACATCTTGGGGTTGGCATGGTATGCATTATTTACCCTTTATTAGATAAACACTAAAACAATTGGAAACAGCGAAATTAAAACAAAAGTTAACTTTTAGACTTTCTCACGATGTTGTTGAACAAGGTGAAAATTTAGTTTGCAGACAAATCTTGCAAAATTTCAATTATTTTCATGCGCACCTGTTGCTAATGTGGCAAGGCTTGAAGACACGCCTTTTAGCGGGACGATGTGACAAGGTATATTTAGGTTCGCCCTTTACTTTCACTTGTTTTTCTTGGTGTCCTGTTGCCCGGTGGTCTTGTCATGATGGATTTTGTTTGGGATGTGTTCCGTGAAAAATGCTGCCAATCTTTGTTGATCATATGTGTTCATTATCCCTTATGTGCAGACTCAATCAAACCGAGTCTGCAATTCTTTTGTAATTTTGTTGTGATTAATGCTTCCGAGGGATCACTTTGTTTCCAGATTTTCATATTAAGTCTTTATAAAAATTGTTTTGACCTATCTTACAATAAACATGGTATGCGCACAATTCCTATAACCTTGATGAATTCAAATATATAATTCTAACAAAATTTCGTTTTGTTAACAATAAATATAACCGTAGAAAGGTTCTATTATGATGAATGGCATCGAAAGTCACAATAACAACAGTTACTTCAAACCCGGTCAACCGATTCACAGTCCAACTAACTTTTAAAATACTTCGAATAAAAATTGCATCAATTCGTTTATAGTCTGATACCCAGGCTAATTATCCCAGAAATGAACTTATGACATGTATCATTGAATTGCGGTGATATATGTTGAAAAAAAAAATAATGGAAAATATGACAAGCTACGTAAATACCATGCAGAAAGCATTCCTTGTACTTATAATATTAACAATGCACATGATCACAAATAATTAAGTCTGCAAATACAATTTTTAGAGCTAGAAAAAGGGATAATGCACTTTTTTCCATGTACCGTATTTATAACACGATGAATCATTTAAAGTCCAAAGCCGAAGTGCTTTTGCAGGTTTAAAATAAGCGATAAAATGTGCATTTAACGCTATTCTTGTAACAAAATTACGTCTTATTTGGTTATTCCGTATTTTTATCTGTTTTGTATAATGATATCCCCTTTTCCTACTTTATATGTGGTAGTTCGACCTCATTTGATAGTTAATAGTATGTTTGAATAATGAAACTACGGAGGCCGTCACTGCAGTCACAGACACTTGGGGTTCGGAGCTCAAAACGCCTTTAAAATCCAAATAAAATGCATATTTGTCAATCCCAGCACATGTACTGATCATATATATCAAAAAAACTTAATATAAGCCATTTTGAAAAAAAATTATATTTCAACATCTATAATAATACACAAGATAAAAATGTTCGCCGGAAAAAATCCGCACCCCTACCGTCATAATCACCATGTATTTTATTCCATTTCCAATATTTTCACATAATCCTTTGGTCCATCGACACAGAAGACACGATGAAGGTCAATTTTTAACTTCAACGGTAATATAAACAACGCAACAGCCGAAATAAACATCAATATTATCGCCGTTGTCCTTCAATGACATTATCTTTCGATAAATTCAAACGTGCCAGTCGGCTATGACCGAAGCCATCCGATTATGTGGTTCCCACACTTAAAGCGCTGCGCATTTTGCACACGGCAAAGCTGGGGCCACATTATCGGATGGCTTCGGTCATAGCCGACTGGCACGTTGAATTTATCGAAAGATAATGTCATTGAAGGAAAACGGCGATTATATTGATGTTTATTTCGGCTGTTGCGTTGTTTATATTACCGTTGAAGTTAAAAATTGACCATCATCGTGAAGAATTATATCTTCTGTGTCGATGGACCAACGGATTATGTGAAAATATTGGAAATGGAATAAAATACATGGTGATTATGACGGTAGGGGTGCGGATTTTTTCCGGCGAACATTTTTATCTTGTGTATTATTATAGATGTTGAAATATGAAATTTTTTCAAAACGGCTTATATTAAATTTTTTTGATAAATATGATCAGTACATGTGCTGGGATTAACAAATATGCATTTTATTTGGATTTTTAAAGCGTTTTGAGCTCCAAACCCCAAGTGTCTGTGACTGCAGTAATCTTTTTATATATCAAGCATGTTTAAAAAGAAATGCAACAACGGTACGTTGTCACCTGAATCTATTCGTCAACCCTTTTTTTCCGTTACTGAAATTTAAAGTTTGATTATAGTCAAGATTTTGAATAAATTTCATTACAGATAACGTGATAGTGCACGAGTTTGGTCATTTAAGGTATGGCTTATATGATGAGTATCCTATTTCCAAAGATAGTTCCCAATTTTACCAGTACGAAGGGGAGTGGAAACCAACAAGGTTCGTATGTTGATAACTGAAAGGTTACCTTTGAAACTTTACAGAGATATGGCGCTATAATGTGGATTGCTGAATTGACTCATCAATTCCCAATCTGAATTTATTTTAACCTAACTCCTTGTTGTTCGATATCTTTATTTACTACACTTAGTTGAATATGTAGTTATCTTATTACAATAACCGTTCTAAATGTATGATTCAAAGATTTTTAAATTGGTTGATTTATATATTTGCTGCTTTCATTTCCTTGTGATATTTTGCTACATCTAGATGTTCAGAGGAAATTCAGGGAAAAATTGGAATTGGCGATTATTGCGAGAAAAGTGAGGCATGTGATTATAAAAATACCAGAAAGAAATTGAATGATACCTGCAACTTTTGTCCCTATAGAACTCAAAAGGTAGAGGCTTCGTTGATGGGTTATCAATGGATAGAAGCCGTAAGTATTTACTTAAATTACCTGAGACATGTTCGGCATGAACTTGTTTTATAAATGAAATGGACTCTACACTTTATGTATAATTTCCTAACATTATCATTAATTATTTTGCTATCGTTCTTATTATTAATAAATACATATTTTCATATGTGATAGAAAAAGCCGTTTTTGCAGTCTAGGAACTCGAAGACCTTTAATTGTCTGACTTGTTTCATCAGGTCTTCGACTGTGATGTGTTTGTCTTCACATACCATGACTTAATGATGTAAATAAATAAGGCTTAATTCTACATGATTAATCTACGTGACCATTTTGTGAATGTAGTAATTACATGTAGTAATTCTTTTATTTCTGGGTTTTATGCTAAAGACCAATGTAGTCTTTGAATTTAAAATTAAGCTTTGTTTACCATTCCCCGACATTTTATTTTATAAAGTTGATGAGGCATGCTATTAACCATACTGTATCTTTTTATATGTTAGCTTTCGTGTGATTATTTAAGTCAAATTTTTATTTTTAGTATGTTTCTCTTAATTTTTCTACCGGTTTTCATGGTTTACACCCAATGCGTTTGATAATATTTCTATGGCACGTCTATTTACAATGCCATTTTTTCCCCTGTGTTATTGGCGGTGCCTTATAACGTGAACATATGAACTTTAACCAACAGTGGTAATAAACAAATTTATTCATCATAATAGATATAAATAATTCAATGACAATGGTATATGCCTTTTGAAAATAATTAATGACAAATAATATAATCAGAGCACCTGGTTGTATATGTCTTAGGAAATACACAATATTGCATGCCGGTCTGATTTCTGTAGTCATGTCGATCAAAATCTGAAAATACTCGTTTGTGTCCTTATCCTATAAAATTGCATAATTGGTATGTTTTCGTGTCAGTATTCGTTTCAATCGGATCATTCAAATATTCGTTTTGTAAAACAAACTTCAGATATTGCCTTATGGTCACTGACCAACTACATTGACACCTTGTTTGATTATAGTTATCAAAGTTCTGCGAAAGGGATGACATAACAACGTCCAGACATGTGAGGCACAACCGTTTTGGAAAAAATTATCACAACAAACGATGTAGTTCACAGAGTGCATGGGAAATAATGAGCAATCACCAGGACTTTATAGGTAATGTTACACTTAACAACTTAAATGAAATATAATGCTTTTTAATTTTGATATATCGCATTTCCATACACCGGTCTTATAAAATGTGTTGTATCGATAATTTAATAATTATTTATTATAGATGCAAATAAGCTGCATAATTCTACTGACACTCGGCCCTCATTTGAATTCATTCAAGAAACTGAACAATACCTTGTTCTTGTGCTGGATGTTTCCGGCAGTATGGAGGTAAATATTTATCTATATGTTTCATAGTTAAACATGCTTACGTTAATTAGCATATCTTTAATAACTTAAACATTTCAAAACATGAAATAAAAATATTGAATATCATCGTCACATTCTAGGTTTTAACAAGTTTAAACATACTTATTCTAGTTTTTCTTATTTTATTATTTTATAAAGATTGGCGCAATTCAAATCTTATTTAAACAGTTAAGTCGTGTCGTGTATCTGATTATTTAGGCACTATGGTTTGTATCATGAATGTCGGTTAGGTCAATTTATGCTATTTTTTGTACTTGCACAATCCTAAATTCCACTTGTTACGCCATTCTGCTTCTCCTTGCTTATAACTAAATGAATACGAACGGGCAAACAAATAAATACATAAACGCTTCAGGGGAAACGTATTGAAAACCTGCTGCAAGTAACAGAGATTGTCATTAAAGAGCTCATTCCGTCCGACACCTATCTTGGTATCATAGTATTCAATAACACAGCCAGAGTTGTAAAAGAACTGACTGAGGTAACATCCGATTCCGTCCGAGATCAGTTGATGAATAGTCTACCTACTGTGGCTAAAGGAGGAACATGCATTGGTTGTGGCATTGAAAGTGCTATTGAGGTTGGTAATTATAAAATATAAACTTATTTTAAATTTACAAATGTTTAATCAAGACAGAAACCATCCTACTTGCGTTTAAATAAAGATGAAAATATATCAAGAGTATCAAATGTCTTTAAGCATCAAAACAATTGACATTAATCAACATAATGATATAATAATGATATCTAATGATATTTTTGACAATGCTTTTACATACAGGTTTTTCGAAAATGTTGTTAACTTATAAGAAGGGTGTTGCAAATTTGCAATAACATACATACTTGTAAGTTCTTATACAGATAGAATGACCATTGAATTTATAAATTCATCTTTCTTTAAATAAAAAGCTTAGTTACGTTATTACAAAAATGAAGGATTCGGCCAACTGAAGTCCCTTTTGACCTCTGTAAAAGACGATCAGAAGAATCTAAAAAGCTTGAAACATAAAGTACTTTCATAGTAATTATTGAATTGCCAAAAGATACTGGCAAATAAACTAAAGAAATTATTGAGGAACATAAATAATGACCAACAGGGATATGCCAAAAATGTATTTTTTGACGATTTATCTAAGAAGAATACAAGAATTTCAGACTAATGTATACTGAACATCTTCAAATGCCGGAGCGACGTTTTTTTCAGAATTACCAATTCGTCAATGATGGATAAGATTTTATTTTTACTGTTTTGCAACAATTTGAATCATTCTTTATCAAATAAGCTTATCACTTTATTTTAAACAATGGTTTGAAATCTGACATTTTTAAATTACAATTTGACAAGGCAGTCCTGTTAAGCTCTCCTTACAATTACATTGTAAAAATATTGGCTTTAAAATTATAAATTATAATGAGCTTACAGGCAGCTTCAGAATCAAACCGATGTAAGAATTATTAAAAATATCACAATTAGTTAGTTCATGATAATGTTTTAAATAGTGTACAAAATGTTATTCGTGAATTTGAAAAAATGTGGACCAACTAAAAAGAGAATTGTTCTTGCTTTTTTTTTGGGGTCGTACCCACATATGGCGATTTTCAGGCTTTACAGATGGAAGAATACCTCCTGTGCAAATACATGTGATCTCAACTTTAAAGTAACTAAACTAAGTCAAATTGAAAAGAAATTGTTTCAGGGATTCATTTGTCTGTATTCGGTTCAAACAGTCTATCTTTTTGATGCATAACCAAAGTGCACACACATATCAGGGATTCCACAATTTACAGAAAACAAAGTTACTTACAGTTAGTCAATCAATAAAAAAGATTTTTAAAAAAATACATAAAAATGGAATTCAAACATAAAATAATACATCTGTTTCGTTCTGCACAACATTTTAATGAAATTGATACAATCATCTTATTATACTCTGTGAAGTGTTTGAAGTCTGCAAATATTTGGTAAGAAATACAATATTTTGAGATATTGTGGAATATGGTAAGGTGTAAAATTATTTAACATTGGAAATAAAATCTCCGATCTAATATTAATATAAGTTCAGAATAAAATTGTAAACTAAAACTATACTAAATATCAATCTATTTATTTTTACGTTGATGAATTGAGAAATATATATTTCTGGAAAAACATTATTATGTTAACTTATGCGAGAAATTTATTTACACAATATTATTATTTTAAAGCGATTACTGCATAAGGCAGTATCTTGGTAACGTTAAGTAGTAAATATGATGGATAGGGATAAAAGTTCTTTTCTGTCATTACTAAGTTGCTTCATCCTATCATTTATTCAGTTGTTTAAAAGAACACTAGGTGACGCCACTGACGGAGAAATTATTCTCGTTTCTGATGGGATGAACAATATAGGCAACATTGACGAATCAAGACGTAGGATGTTAACAGAAAATGTCATAGTACACACTGTCTCTGTCACTCAAGATGCCGATGTTGTTCTTGCTGATATTTCAAAAGAAAGCAGAGGGAAACATTTTACATACCTGGAAACTGGAACATCTAGTTTTACTGCTTTATTTGACGAAATAATAGTTAGCAGCCACACCTCGTCCTTCAAACATGCTGCTGTGGTATGATATTTGAATGTTTAGTTTAGATTTCAAATAATGATTGAATTGGTAGATTATCGGTATATGATCAATTCACAATAACACTACCAAGGCATTTTCTTTTTCATAGCTGAAATAATTGATATCATGATATTATTGTTTAATATATCTGCATGTTCATCAAATATATGTATCCACGAGACCTGGCATATAAAGTGAATAAATTAAAATTGTGGCATCAGTTTAACTATTCTATAAAAAGTTTTCCATTAAATTATTCTATTTTAACTATTCAATATGTTGTAATTGAAATACGTTGTTTACGATTCAAGCTTGCATCAGAGCGAATAAACAGCACATCATCAAACATAGTCAAACTGACATTTCCTGTAGAAAAGAATCAAGGAGAAAATACATTTGTTGCTGTAATAGTACAATCGGATTATAACGGTCGATTGCAGCTTAATCTGTCTGGTCCAAATGATTTTTTTAGAACAATTATTACTTCGAAAAAGACAGCAACTCTTCGGATTCCAGATATAGCTCAGGTAAAAAAGAAAATTGTACAGTTTTTCACTTGACATTTTATCGACTGGTCAACCTCACAGTGACATGTTTGCTAGTTTCTAAAACATACCTTGACACTGATATTTTTCGTTTCATTCATTATTTGAATAAAGAAAAAAATATATAAATACGTCAAATTGGAGTTGACATTAATTTTATAACATCGTTCTGTTTCGCTATTGATATATAGTTGTTTTTACTATGTTTTGCTTAACAGTAAAGAATGTCAAATAAATAAAATGCGATAAGCCTTAATATGTGTGCAGGATGCTTGTGTTTAAAACATGTTCAATTTAATGTTGCAACAGCATGGTGATTATGAAGCAACGATTACAATGGACACGAGTGGAATATCACTTGAGTATGTAGTAAAATCAACACCAGTCAGTAGTGATATTATACGAATCGAGGCATATATGTCAGCATTGAAGATTGACTTTAAAACTGGAGAGCTTCCTATTATCTACACAGAGGTTATTAAGGAACACTCCCAAGTAATAAATGCAAACGTCACAGCTCGTGTAGAATCAAACGACGGGGGCAAAGGTTGTGACGAATATTTATATGATAATGGAATAGGTAATAGATTCCTACTGATTTGATATATCATTTGCGACGCTTATCTATACGCATGAAATGATAGCCATTTCATGTCACTTTTGCCCAAGTGAATGTTTCATTTCAAGACATTGGCGTTCGAATACATTTTTTTCCGTATTTTACATGTGAACTTCATTCCCCCTTGCTTCATGCCCCGAATGGATTTTTACGAAATGATAAAATGGTTATCATTAGAAATTCCGCCTATTGTCTTATCCCATGCATTTTCAGAATGCTTACTAAAGCTATCGTTTTTGTTCGGCTTAATTATTTTTCAAAACTGTCCATGTTATTTATTTATTTATTAATTGAAATACTCGCAGTTATTAACACTGACTAGTTTAGTTGTCATAAGGTACAATATGAAAACAGACTATAATCTGTTGCTCAGCTTAAAACCGTGCTAATCCTTATGTTGCTTCAATCCAGGTATTATTTTTGTATTTGTTGAGTGTCTGTTGGGTTATGGTTAAAATCTGGAAATTCTTCTGTCGAATACGATACCTTGTTGGAGTCTAAGACCCCATTGTGCCAAGCAAACATTGCTCATAAGATAAGATTCGCCAGAATAAGAAAAGCCAAATGTTTTGGCATATATGGAGTAAAGAAGAATCTGGATGAAGTGTGATCCCTCGGAAACATTTATTACAACCAAATTACATGGAAATTGCAGTATCAGTTTGATTTAAAGCATTCAAATTCTAAACAAAACACAACTTTAGACAATGGTCTGTGCTATACGTATACCACTTATCTCACCGATGGTTAAAAAAATCAACACTGGCATTTACAACAATTAACGAACCATGTATATTTATGTGAGTGCCATGAAAAGGGCTAATAATTAGCAGTGGACGCAAATATATCAAATCGAATCAATTTGAAATAATGTAGCGTGCAGAGTTTACAAATCGTCTCAATCATTTGCAAGAGTTAAATCAGTTATGTTCGAATTTTTATATAAGCTGACAGTTACAAGTTAATATAATAAATGACCTTTGATAATCAATATTCTAATAGATCCGGATGATATCCGTGATGACGGGATTTATTCAGCCTATATACTTCCACAATGCCTTAGTGCCGGGCGCATAAATGTGAAGATCTTTGCTAAAGGACAGGACGGAAAGGTGCGCATTAAGAGAGTTACTGCTGGATTTCAAGCACCTTATCAAGGTTTGTCCAAATATAGTATTAACCTTTATCAAATGTTACGTTCCGTATTATCATAACTTACATTATTTTATTTCTTTATAGCCTTATGTGACTTCAGTGAGTGACAACCACAATGTTTTAATATGATAACATCACGTTTCAGCCAGCTGACATAACAAAAAAACCACCACGAGCATACATGATTAAGCATGTTTGTTACCATCCTTGTTGAAAATCATATAGACGCACTATGCTGTTGACATGAAACGTTGAAATAAGCTTGTTGTTTATTTGAGATGTTTATCTTTGATTTTTTTCGGTATAACAAAATAAGTACTCTTACTGAAAGCGATAGAAAAATGTAGTGATATTTTGCTTATGATTCGTTGACGCTTTCTTTGGAATGAGATTGTATATTTTTGTTTTCAAAGATCATTCAATTTGATATTCCTAAACAACATTGCCTTCCAACCGTTGAATTTTCTTTGTAATCAGTGAATTCAATAGCAAATATTGACTTTGTTAAGCAAACACTTTGTAAAGCAAACAATGACTTCAATAGCAACCATGAAATTTCAGTAGCAGCAGCCAGTGACGACGATAGCGACTTGTGATTTTAATAACAACAATGCATTGTCCGATCAAAAAGTGACTTCTATAGCAACCATCCACTTTCCCTAGCATTCTCTGATTTCCATAACATACAATGACTCCCTATTGCAACAAATCATAGTGAGTCTCATTTACATTCCGTAAGCAACCGGTGGCTTCCATAATATCCATTAACTTTCTTAAACGACCAGTGGCTTTTAAAGCAACCGTCGACATTCCAAAGCAAACAGTGACATGGCCCACCGTAGCCATCTTGTTTTCTTTTTAATATGTTGTTTACGCAGCATTGTATTTTTTGCAGAGGAAACAGTTGACGGAATACAAACGGAACGTTTTCAGCGTGTTAGACTGATGGAAGACCTTTATATTGAAACTATGAGGATCCTGGACTAAATGACACGGTTCCACCAGGAAGAATTACCGATGTTGATATCCATAATATTGTCACGAAAGCAACATTGTCAGGAGAAGCAGAAGTTTTACAATAGCATGGACTGCAACGCGGTGATGACAAAAGCATTGGTCGAGGTTAAATGTCAGTATGATATGTTAGTTTTACAGACCAATGTACTTTTTAAGACAAAGTAATGACAAGATAACTTTGTAATCGAAAGGATAATGCTATTCAAAAAGCTTATTCATTTTTTTCGTGTATTTCTTTTCTTCATAAACATTAATTAGCTGATTATTTTTGTATCTTATCTAGCTTCGGAGTACATATTCAGAAATCTCCGATGATTTTGAAAACTCTCCAAGACAATTTTGATGAATGCCGAGCTGTTAGATGTCCCCGGAAAATTTAGCTTTAAACTTTAAATGCTGGTGAAAAGGAAGCTTTGAAAAATAATTGTTGACGCAGAGAAATCTTATACCAGCACAAGTATCTTCGGGGCCTTAAAAGCAGTTGATGAAGTGGGTAATACTGGAGACGTGTCCAAACATTTTGTCAATAGTTGTTGCTAAAGGATATCGTGCATATGGAGAGGCAGGTAATTTGGAGGCGAAGATTTGACGTTTTAATGCAGCAGAAGAAGAACAAATTTCATGATTTATATTATTCTAGGATCTTGCAACAGGAGTTATCGTGTTTTCTGACTACAGTCGTAACAGCCTGTTTGTGTAGAAACAGAAGAGTCCTGGTATGTCATTTATAATATGTAAAACTTAATGAAGTTTTTGTGTAAATATATTTCTGTTGACAAAAAATTGACATTTTTTTTAAAATAAAAGGTGTAAAACACTTATCAAGTAAGAATTGCAGCGTCGTGTTTACATATTCTTTTGTCGAGTTACGAATTGAAATATCAAGCCATAGATTAATGGTTGCAAATACATACTCGTTTACGTTTATGTTATTATCTTTACAGAATGCAAAGAATACAAATGTTCCACTTGGGCAAGTATGAAAAACTTGATGAAGCCAACATAGAAATACGTACATATACCATATGCACGACTTAAAAACGATCGCGTTTGTGTCCTGTATGTTTATTAATAATGATAATTCTTTTGTGACAATAATTCAATTTGCTAAAAAATTCATTGTGTTTATCTATTTGCTGCGTATTATATTTTCATTGTGATGAAAGAGAAATAATAAATATTATTGACATTAGTAATAGAAAATTAAAAGCAGTTTCCCGTTTGAATTGTTCCCGTTAGCAATTTAAGAAAGTTCAATCTATAAGACCTAAACTACAAAAGAAGAATTCAAATTGTACACAATTTTGCATGTTGTATGCCAGACATACGCCAGTAATTCTAAAGTCCACACACCTAAAATAAACCCTTTAGGGGTACAGGTTCCTTTAAAGCGGCCATCGCTTTTCTACATAAATATCGTTATTGTTTGAAATTTAATAGTTTCTAATATCATTTCAAATTCAAAAGAATTAAGAAAGGAAAAAATAATATTTCGGGGATGATTAAAATACATTAGCAATAAGGAAAACCCACTCGATATCTCATAATCTCTTAATATTTTTTCAACTTTGAAGTAACTAATTGAAACTTAATATCATTTAACTGCTACATGTGCAGGGTATCTTCCTTATTGTTACGTCAGTACCCATCATTTTAAGTCATAAAACAAACCTTTTTACACATACTGTTCAAGTATCAAAGATAATTTGATTTAATAAATCAAATCTTTGTCTAATTAATATATTTATATATATTATGATATTATTGCACATTAATGGTAATCCTCAAATGGATATTAAGCGTATTTCAATGTTTATAGAAACACTCTATTGTGCAATTGTTTATTTTCTTTTTTACATGCAATAACATCATAATGATTACAAAGTAATATGATTTACACTTTAACTAAATAATGTTTTTTCATGTTATGTCATTAATAGTTATATAGCATCAGATGAATATTATGCGAATTTTAAATCTTATTTAAAGGTTTTGAATAATTGAACTCTAATATTGAAAAAGGAAAGTTCTCGACACTATACTATTTATAGTGATATTTCAAACAAAATATCATGCAGAATGTAAACGTGTTCCTATTTGTCTTAACAATGCGAATACATATAGATCATGCGTAAAAAATAGAATATACTGTTTTTTAAAAAGTACAGTATACTTGTTTAAATCAACAATATAGCTTCCGTGGTAATTTGTTATTTTTAGCACAAAAATGTTCAAACTTAAGAGGCATAAAAGTATTTCGAATATTTAGAATGGTAAAGTATGACTTTTTATATGATAATACTTCTGCTTGTTTTACTAAGGTAAGTAAACGATCACGTCAAGATGTAATAAGAATTTTAGGATAAAACTTTATAATGCAAGCTAGAGTTTTAAACAAAAGATAACACTAAATTTTCATGTTTAATTACGAGGGAAATAATGTTTCCCTTTACAAAAAAAATTTAAACAAGTACTTTTCAGATGAAAAAATGGGGCGGTAAGCGATTCTGAAAGGTAAGCTTAACCATAATATAATAATTAATGTATTGAAATTAAGTGTACATTGGTGGATAAAATTTGATTAATAAGGCAAACGTCTGGCAACAAAGCTTATTTTTTATTCAACTCAGTTCAAAATAAATAATCATTTAATGAAGCTAACAAAATTTTAATTTTTCCTTTTTTTTCACATATCAAAAATAAAACCGTTAAACGGAAAAAATAAGGCACTAAATATTTTTTCGTAAATTTAGCGCGTATTAACAACAAAATGACGCCACGACATGTATGCTCCGGTTTCAATTCCCGTTTTAAGAGTCCCAACCAGTTTCTCGGGTTTGTGATAAAATGAATGAGTGTAGGTTCAATACTGAATTTATTGAACGAGTTGAATAAAATTATATTATGCGAGCATGTAGCAAAATATTCTTTATTCAACGACTTCAATAAATTCAGTAATGAACCTACATACACGAATATGATATTCTATTTATAACATACCCAACATAAATACTGTTGACATTTCAAAATAATAATTTGTCAGTGGCGCGCCTAAAGCAAAACGCTTACATTTACACTACGAGGTACGTTCATATAACGCAAATGACATCACGTCAAAATATATGCACGGTCGTGCAATCCCAACATCTTTTGATAACAATAAATGTTTGAAAGAGATGTAAACAATTTAAGACTTGTAGAATTTCTTATTTCTCATTTAATTTTTCCTTTTATATTTTAAACAAGTATCTGTATTTCGCTTTTATATATTATAGAAGAAGGACAAGCTGATGCCAAGCCGAAGCCGAAAGACTGGCGTCCATCAACATTCTTATCTTTGGACTTTTCGGTTCACCTTTCGGTGTCTCTATCAAACGTAACTCCATATCGAGCGATAAGGTTTGACACGGTTGATACGAATCATGACGATTGCTATAATGTCACAACAGGGCGATTTACTGCACCGCTTAAAGGATTGTATGTTTTCTTTGCCACAATAACTACCACCGAAAGACTTAAAGCATCGCTATGTTTTATTCATAAGTTCCACCCTGTGGACCAATCGAGAGTGAAGGAAAGGGAGCAACTAGTAGAAGGGTTTAACAACAAAACTATAGCTGTGGTGCTGACACTTGATAAAGAGGACGATGTTTGGGTTCTAAATGTTTCCAAGGTGTCAGATGTCAGCCAAATGCAAGAACCTTACTACACATCTTTCTCGGGTGGTTTAGTTGATAAACTTACTTCAGACTGACAGTCATTATTTGATTTTCGTGTAACTGATCGCTGTTCAATCATGCACGGAGTTGTTAATGTTTTAAAGGGACTCCACTTGAGTTTTTTGACATGACGGGCCTGGAAATTATTTTTCGAGATTTAGATTTTCTTAGATGAAGGTCTGGACCAATAACTTGTGAGAAAAACTTCAGATCATTCACTCACTCACTCACTCATTTTTTGAAAAAGTTAATCAAAGTGTGTATGATGACGCAAAATTTGAAGAATTGTATCGCTTTTTACTCAAATCAGGCTATTTATTATGGAGGGCGATCTTTGCCAAAATTCCAGACATATAATGTGTTCCTTTTGAAAACTACTTTTGAAAATGCAAACATGTATGTCTAGCATTTTTTATTGCATTCGTGCACAGCAAATGATATGCCTCTTAATCCAATCTTTTAATTGAAGGCACCCGCTTTTAAATAACACGTTTACATGTAAATCTTAACTGATCTAACATGGAGAACAACAACACATTAACAAGTTCGTATCTACCATTGCATATAATACATAAGCATGTTTACACACTTGTAGATATATATCTGTACCTGAAAAACACAAATGAAATGTAAACTCGAATGCAGAAAATATAATTTAATAAAACGTGTTCCAGTCGTAGAACTACAACAGTACGTTTACACAGTTACATGTTTAAAATGACAAAAGTAGATTCACAAAGTTAGACGATTCTAAGTCATGCATGACGCCCCGCCTCTCTCTGAGTATTTGCGATCTTCTATCACGGAAATGTACGGACAGGTATAATACCCGTCGCCTCACTCCTATTTCTCAATAAAGTGAAGGAAAACACGGCTTCCATTCTAACTTTTTTTATTTCTATAATAAGTCCAATATTATTGGTATCAAATGAAAGATTACTCCTTAGGCTTTCTATGAGTGCCTCGGAAATAAAAATGAATTAAATAGATGTATGGAATTTTTAGTTTTTTTTTACTCTGAAAAGAACACTCTCGAATTGGTAAGAAAAACACGGCGTTCCCTCCAAACTTTTTTTAAGTTCGTAATATATTTTGATAATTTTGGATTGAAATTAAAGTGTGCTTCATACGATTTATGATATATAATTATATAATGCCTAAAAATAAAAATGAATTAAATCAAACTGAATTAACTTTCATTAAAAAGTTTATAATGTTACTTTTGTAAAATAGAGAAAATAAGAATCCCTAAAGAACGCTCAAAACGACAAAATTGAGAATGTTGCAGGCCCGGTTTGATTGAGCCTGCTCATGGACGGTAATGGAAAGAGCAAGTTATCGTCCACGCCCCCTAGCACCGGCTTAAGCAAAATTCAACATGAACTGGTACAATTTTGAAACATCCGCAGATGTGTTAATATGGCGATTATCATGGAACCTTCAATGTGACACGTAAGTGCCATACCATGAAAAACGGCATATGATCCCCAAGTAAAAAAAACACACTCTGAAATTCAGTAAGAAAAAAACGTGGCGCCCCCTATTTACTTTTTTTATTTCTTGGTCAATTTTGATAATAAACAAGATCATCAAGGAAAGGCGGCGGAAAATTACAATAGAATTGCACATTCGGTTTGATTGAATCTGCACATGAGTGATAATGAACAAGTGACGATTATCATGGAACCTTCAATGTGACACGTAAGTGACACGCCCCCTAGCACCGGCTTGAACGGTACTCAATTCTCAACACTTAATAAGGCTGGCATCAATGATCCCGTAGGACCAGAAAAACACTGAAGTGAAGTACGGGGCAACTTTTTACAACTGCCACACGGCACTTGGCACCTGCTGTTGTGAAGTATTAAAATCTGGAAACAAAATGATCCCTCGGAAGCATTAATCTTTACAAAATTACATAAGAATTGCAGACTCGGTTTGATTGAGTCTGTACATGAGGGATAATAAAGAAGTGCAAAAGTTTTTATTCATACTGAAAATACCGTATTAAAGATTGTACATATGTGCTACGGATAAGTATTTTCTTGATTTCGGAAAGGAAATCTCGGTGGCCGCTTTAAAATCCTATTTTTGCAAATACTTGCATAGTTTTTGTTGAAGGTGAAATTTGTGCCAATACATTTTTTCAATGATACCAATAAGAATATTGGATGTTTTTACATTATCAATAAAATTACTCCCTTGAAGTTGGTCATTGTTTCCCCTAAAAATTTCCAAATCGCCGATGTTTCTCAGGAATATATGATAAACAAGATCAACAAGGAAAGGCGGCGCTCAATGAACGCAACCCTACATGACCCAGCAACAAGAACAAGTGGCAAGAATCCCAGGCGGACCCCAAACAAAACACAGGACAGGGCACTAGGCATAGCACGGACAGGCTAATCACTAAAATGATAAATAATTTGTAACTGATAAGAACACGATGTTAAATAATAAGGTAATGCACAAGTTATCTTCATCATCAATGGTAAAATCAGCAATTTTCAAGTGATGTTGCTAGTGACAAAACTTTTGTAACAAATGCAACATATATATGTTATGAAAAATGCCGTATGTTGTCCTTAAGTTTTATTTAAAAATATGGGAGAGGCGCCGTTTTATACCTGTCCGCAATAGAAGGTCGTAAATACTCCGAGAGGGGCGGGGCGTTATGCTTGACTTAAAATCGTTTAACTTTGTGAATCTACTTTTGTCATTTTAAACATGTTACTGTGTTAACGTACTCTTGTAGTTCTAAAACTGGTAACACGTTTTCTTAAACTCTATTTTCCGTATTCGAGTTTTACATTTCATTTGTATATTACAGATCTATAAGTGTGCAAACATGCGTATGTATTGCATGCAATGGAAGATACGAACTTGTAAATTTGTTGTCGTTTTAAATGTTAGGTCAGTTGTTACGATATATATGTAAACTTGTTATATAAAGGCGGTAACCTTCAATTAGAAGATTAAGAGGCATACAATAAAAATGGTAGGCATACAAGTTCGCATTTTCAAAAGTCATTTTAAAAAGGAAAACTTTACATGTCTGGAATTTTGGCAACGATTGCCCTCCATAATTAATAGCAAAAAAAGTACGATTTTTAATTATTTTCCGAGTACAGTTCTTAAGTATCTTTAAATATTTTTACAGTGCCCCATCTGATCTACGTAACAAAATTAAATTTTATCTTCTTTAGACTTTAAGACCTCAGCAGATCACGTTCATTAAAGGCTCATTCCATATGGATACATTCAGTGCATAGCCCTCTGTATTCTTTTATATATGTCATTATTTACAGAAGGTCATTATCGTTAAAGATATTTCATTAAAGGAACTCAATTGAGGTTTTAGACCTGACGGAAATATGTTTCTCTTGAGGTAAGTCTTGAAAAATAACTTTCAAACTTACACATTTCTCAATCACTCTGTTATTGTTGCGTTGCAATGATTCTCACTCTAATTGGGATACGAATAACACAAAAAATATGATTTTAGATTTCTTTCTGAGTATATTTCTTAGTTATCTCTTGTGTATATGTCTGTTTTTAAGTGCCCCACTTAATCTACATGTATGTAAAAATTACAATGTTTTAATGCTTTTTGACCTCTGTAGAGTTCCTTTTAAACATCTAGTCTACCTTTACTTTTAAAAGTATGGTTATAATAAAGTGAGGCTTACGAGGTTATTATGATCCGCATCTTAGTCAGAAATATCCACATGTCATGACAATTGCATGGGTGAAGTTACTTTTTCTTGTATTCTTGTTACATGCTAAACATAGTTTAAAGGCTTAAAGGTTATGTAATCAATGATTTAAATACCCGTTTCTACAATCTGCATGATAGTTAATAGTCACATCCAGCATTCTAACACCGACCTTAAAGTCTTCATTTTGAGTATATAAGAGTATATCTTATTGTTGTCAACAAATTGTTTGGGATTTTATCTAGTTCTTACTTAAAATAATATGGTCGTCAGAAAAATTTGTGTTCAATGACTTCATAATCTTAACTCGACTCGCCACCAGATGAGCAAAGATTTGCCAATAACAACAAATTTAAAAACAATGTATAAACGTGTTAATAAATTGTTTACAACTGCATGAGAAATTTAAGACGAATTAATCAAAATATTACTTTTTTGTCATACATATTTTGTACAAAAGAAGTTAGGACTGCCTCTGCAAATTTCGACATGATATTTCTGTGTGTGTGAAAAATGGTTACTGTAGCTCAAATCATTCTTTAAAATTAAAACATTGTTGATTTTTTTAATTTTCATAAATTCTGTTCCTTGATGCTAAATAATATATAACATATAACAATATAGTGTAACTATTTGATATCCATAGAAAACTTATGTCTATTTTGCTAAAATTATTATTCACTATTTAGGGAGAAGGAAGATGTGTAAAGCGGCCGGATAGCTCAGTCGGTAGAAACTAGGAACATTGTCCGAGGTTCCTGCGTTCCAGTCAGGCTGTACATATTTCTCACCCTATTACATTGTGATTGCAAATTTTTCTGGCAATCATAATGAATTTAAAAATGCTCACTGATATACAATTATTAAATCCAAATACATATCAATAGGTTGACTTTTTGTACTTTCAGTTTCTACCAACATAAAAAAATTATATACTGTTTACTTTTATATCTATATATTTACTTAAAAGGTGGACTTTAACTAGATATAGTGGAATTAACATAGTCAAAATCTCTCAGCGTAAAATTACTATTTGTTTACAAGTTCACTTTCTTAGTTTAGATGATAGACAGAAATAGCGTATGTGCATTCCGAGTTTGACGGAAAGGGCTGGATAGTTGCGATTGCCAATAACTATTAATCATTATGTAATTATTTCTACATAAAAATATAATTGCTTCCATCATACTCATCATATAAGAATTATTTACGATTGTTACTCCTATAACATTTTAGTTATGGTTATTGTTATTGTTCTTTTTAAATTGATAATTAAATAAAGAAAAACATCAGGGTATAAATGAAAAGGGGCAAAATGT